TGCTATCGTCTTAGCCCTCATATACATGACAAAAATACAAGATTCAAACAAATAAAGTGATTCTATCCCTATACCCCTATACCCCTATCCTAATATATAGATATTAACAGATTTAGCATTGCCACGATTTTACTATTGCCGATAGGCAACGCTTACCACCCTACTTTTATACACAATTCATTTCACAACTAGCGCCCATTATAATACGATTAAAAAAATTAAAATCAAATCTCGCTACCTTTGATACCGTCGGCCATGTCGGTCTCCTGGTACCACAGTTGGACTCTGCGCTCGACGAGCTCCAGCTTCCCGAGCTGTTGCGGCAGTTGCCGCTACTAACTTCTAAAATAAATAAGGATTACCCCGAGAAATGTGCTGGAAATTCGCTACTCCTCTGTAGCGAGACCACGCTAGTTTCCGACACTCGTTCAGGGTATAGTTGATCCAGTGTCTTTATCGGGGTTTACTTTATCCACTCAAAAAACTTGCTTCGAAATTTTAAAAGTGCTATTAGAGAAAATTTTCATTTTGAATAGCGTAATTTATCACATGTTTGACAACACTTTTCCTTCCATTGACCTCTAATGATAATAGTTTTTTCGTGAATATATTCGGGTAAATTATAAACAAATAGGTCGCGCGAGCTCTTAATAAAGCAAAAGGCCAAGTTATCTAAAGCAAACTATCGCACGTTCACCGCAACTTAGTCCAATGGAAAGAACACTGAACAACGTGCGGACGAGAACCCTCTGAAATACAGACCCCGCCTTATTCACGGTGAAACCTAAAGTCTCATTGGCAGAACAAGGTGCTGTGTAGGTTCAACGCCCGCCTGAATATCGAGCGGTCCGAGAACTCGATTGGTAGACAGACCGAGTTCTCCTCCTGTCTGTACCGCGTCACGAGCGAATCACAGACAGGCATGCGCAGATCATGGCAAACAAGAACCCCTGCAGTTTCATAGGCGAGTCCCAGCCAACAGAAAACGCAGCATTGCCGCTACTCGACCATTCAAGAAGAAGACTCCCATGAAGGGCATCCAATGAAAGGTCTGTAATGGAGGTAGCGTAAGTGCAACAGTTTTTCAACAACAGGCTATGCTCAGACCCCGAAGTCCCGTGTTTGTAAATGCTGCTTGCTCAACACCCGTATGGTGACGCGATCGCATCGTGGATACCAAAGCAGATCCCATGCACTCGCAACTCTTCTGGTGAAGCGAGCTTGTCCGGTTCAATGTAACTGGTCTATTGGACTGCAAATAAAATTTGCGATTATAATCGAGTTTGATTCGCAGAATTTGCTCATGTAAGACGTTTGCTTCTCAGTTCGCATGACAAGCCCGTTTTTCCCGTAATGTTATGGCTTTGTGAACGAAAAAAATTCACAGAAATTGAATTTGCTGCCAATATGAATAACCTTAAATTTGAATTCCATGCTACAGGTGCTAAAGCGTTATGTTTAGTTTGAACAACCAATATTGGCCCACGGACGAACGAACCACTTTTTAAAGACCAAAAATAACATTAACTTGACCATAAAATTTCCGATACAAGATTCAAAGTTGATTATAGAGAAATTAAATCTTAAAAATTTTATAGCAGCCTGCTTTTCATGTTAAACAACACCGTAGTAAAAAACGGACATTGATCGACGACTTGACTAAATCAACGAAATGTTCAACTGATTGATTTTATGTCCAAGTTCAGGATATGGTGGGAAAATATCAAATAAAAGAATTATCGTCATATGGGAGATATATAAATAGGAGAATTACCATCAAATGAGGTAATATCGTCAAATGGGTAAACATCGTTAAATGAGGGAACATCTTTAAATGGGTAATCATAGTCAAATGGGGGAAATACCATCAAATGAGAGAAACATTGTCAAATGGGGAAAACATCACTCATCAAATAGGGGAAAATCATAAAATTGGGGAAACCTCGTAAAACGAATGGAAACAATATCAAATGGGGGGGGGGAACATCGTTAAATCGGAGAACCGTCATCAAATTGGGAAGTTTCCTCAAATGGGGGAAACATCAAATGAGGGAAATATCAAATTGGGGGAACATCATCAACATATAGGAGGGGCATAATCAACTATACGGAGATCATCAACATGCGATGCGCACCAGCCATTAACTGGGGATCTTGCACAACAAAGATGAACATAATCATTTCAGTTTTCACAGAAATTTCATCATAAATTCTACGCAAAATCTTATCAGTACACGTTTACACCTTCTGAGTGGTAAAAATTAGATTGGAAATTTTGGTTAGCATTTCGAAAAAAGAAAATATATAAACGACGACAACCCAAAATGCAGGCGAAACTGAAATACTTACATTTTTTGCTGCGTTGGACGAGTCGTGTTGTTTCGTTCATCGTAACAATATACTGCGAATCGACGCTGGTCTGAAACCATTCAAATTTTCGCCGACGTAAAAGTATAAATATATAGACAACGCTGTCCGTACCCGATATACGATGGGTGTTCAGGAGGTTATATGTATTTACCGGCGCTCTGACAATATTAAATTAGCTTCATTTTATTAATAACATAAATTATCTTCAGTTTAGTAATTGTTATAGTTTGAGACTCTATAGTAACGCTGAAGTAAAAACTTCTTTTATTCGAGTAGTCTTCATACAGAATCTCGTTTATACGGACAGCCCCAACCGAACAGGACCTTTCCAGCAATAACTATACGTACAATATTAATTAAGGCTATTATAATATTTTTATTTCATTTGATTCAGTCAAAATTGGATCAATGCAATCTGTATATATACCATCATTTCCAATTAAGGAGTTATCTAACTTTATCTCCATGACATCAAGACACCGAAATTATTTTCATATCGTGAGATTCAGCCCAACAACATTTACTGCCTTCAATCTATAAATATTTTAGAATGACTATAAATTAACGTATTGTTGCAAACCGAAATTATTTTAAAATTATCAGAGACAGTCCGACAACAATTACTGCCTAGAATCTATCATTATTTTGGGATGATTATAAATTAATGTAGTGTTGCAATGCATTCAAGTCACCGGGTAGCGCGCATAATACCAATGTTCACACCAGCACGTCTGTCGCCGCACTAGTCTGTAGGTGTACGAGCAGACGGGTAACTTGCCTGGCAACATGGTCTTCGTCCTAAGAAAACCACGATTTTCTTATAGAGTCTTCGTTGTTTTAGACCGGTTGAAGGTGAATTAGAAGCCACGATATTATTTTATTTGTTTTGAGACTTGAAGTGTCAGAAGCACCTCCCAGACCTGTCTCTATGAAGGACCGAACTTAATTGAATTCTAGTATTTATGCTTAATATACACCACAATTGAACTGTTATCCATTGATTTTTCAATGTATATGAATTTGGTGTCATGAATATTTTCCGTATAAGCAGACCTGGGCAGCACTACTTTGAAATGTAGCGGCCCCTACCGCTACATGCTCTAAATGCAGCGGGCGCTACAGCTACCGCTACAATTGCTTAAATGTAGCGCCGCTACCGCTTCTGAAAATGTAGCGGCCGCTACATGTAGCGCGCTACTACCCACCTCTGCGTATAAATACGGCGATTATACTTGGCACATTCTTTGCTGTTAAGTTGTTAGTTAATGTGCGATCCAATCATACTAATAATTTTAACAATTGCTTTTCAATTTTTAGTCGATAAACAATAGTGATGTAAAATCTCAATTTTATTATTCCGACCATAAACTAGAATTACGTATTATTTTATTAGATCTCATGCACAGCGAAATCCTTCGTTTATAGATACTAAACAAATTAGTTCCTTCGAACTAAAAAAATATAGATATTTTTGGGGTCTACTATAAGACCACTAATTCTTGTGCTTAATTCGATGCCGGCGGAAGGCTTAAAGATTTACTTATCGTCCAAGAAATAGACACGATTATTATTATTAAATAGATACAATGATTGCCTAGGGTCGAGTCTAATTAATACGAGTTCACTGTTCATTTAAACAGCTTGCAGCGTCTAATTTTTACGCGCAATGGTAATCGTTGAACGGAATTCCGAGGTAGAGATATCATCGAGCGGAATATCAAGATATCATCGAGCGGAATATCAAGATATCATCGAGCGGAATATAACGTTTGTTATTTTTTGAGCGATGTGATTATTATTTTTAATTTTACGTTTGTTATTTTTTGAGCGATATGATTATTATTTTTAATTTTACGTTTGTTATTTTTTGAGCGATGTGATTATTATTTTTAATTTTACGTTTGTTATTTTTTGAGCGATATGATTATAATTTTTAATTTTACGTTTGTTATTTTTTGAGCGATAACATATTACTGTTATAGGAGCGAATTGATCAAAAGAAAAACGCAAAGAAGGCAAGAAGTGCAAAAAGTTTAGAAAAAATTGATCACATTTTAATAATGGACTCAAATGATATGATTCACATTTCATACATCACTCAACAAGACACAAAAAAATTTTGACATTACTCAAACTGTAAAAACGAAGTTCATTTTCTGCAATACGGTACTAAAATTGAAGCTAAAAATTAATGACAGAAACATTAAATATCCAATGAATAATATTTCAGCAAAAGGTGAGCGAATGATATTTTAACAGTGTTTCAATAGCTCGTAATCGGAATCAACTTCATACAAATATAAAATACAAATAAAACTATTAGCAGTAAACCGGAACACGAGCATTTAAATTTATAAATAAATATAAAATTTTACCACTGGCGACTCAAAAGAAAAAAAAAACACAAAGGCCGGAGAAGAGAGCAAAATATTGTCACTGTTTTATTCTCTTGCTCCGCATCACGCAAGAAACTAAACTATCGATATAAAATTCAATAAATACAGACTCGCAGCACCACACATTTGAAGGCAGATTCCACATGAACGAAAAAAAATCTAACAAGCGATAGTATAAGAACGCAATAAATATTTCCCCGCTAACTTTAACAACAACAAATTTCAATAAAAACAACCCTTGTATTCAATTCATTTTGGCACTGAAATGTAAATTATAAAACAAATAAGCCAGCTAAGTCCAGTAACTAATTTTCGAGCGACTGGTGACGTTTAAAAATTTAATTTGAATTGCTTTAAAGAAATAAAGCAACACCGAATGATGCTTCAAAAGTTGATATAATAAATGAATGTTTGCTTGATTACATTCAAAGAAATTTGTAATTGTACGGTGAAAAACTGAACAGTTGAGTTAATAAATCTTATAGCAGCTAGCAGGCAAGGACCTTGCAAAGATTCTCAATTGTAAGCATAAAAAAAACATAACAAACGAACCTAATAGGATTCTGACCACGCAGTCACCAAACTCGCTACTACCAACAGATAAAATAATTTCTTACATATATAAGTCTATGGAATCTATGGAAGACCTGAGTACCATGATCTATATATACACATAATCAATCAATGCTAACTCATAATCACGTATGACCATTTAACTACTAGGAAAAGCAGACTAAGATGCTATCGGTTTCACTGGCTCTTTGAGATCTGAATGTCATGCTAGTGGTAATTGACACAGCCCGTAATTCAAACACAACCATTTTCACGCGTTTTCTCCTACAGAGTTAACAACAGGCGGTGATAGAACACGAGCAATTGACCGTGTAAATTAGACAGTCGCTCTCGCGACATCGAAAAAAAATCACTCAATATCCACAATCCTGCCTCGATCTTGGAAATGGGAACTGCTAATATCCATTCCACGAACGACCCTGGGATACTCTCTCTAGTCCGTCTCCCAAACCAACCCCAGGGTATGCCTGAGTGTCAATGCAACAAACAATAATACCGTCCGCTCCATTATATCCGAGTGGCCTTTATCACAACTCGAGGCTCTCTGATGCAGTCGAGGCTCTGCACGAGACGAAGTTCCAGGCTGGCGGGCGTTAACTTTTTGTCGCCTGCTGCGTCGCTGGAGGTGGCGACAGCGTGTGCGTACGTCGCTGTTAGGATGCTCTGCATGGTCGCCACTGTGTTCTCCACTGACATCTGTAAGTATTCAGTATTCAAAAATGACTAAATTCCAGGTAGGGCAATACATTTTTTGCATCACCGCATACAACGGAACAATATGAATCTTTGTCGGCATCCATAGAAAGTTAGAGAAGTTACGAGCACAGAGAGTGCTTATAAAGGTTGAGAAGATGGAAGTTAAGATAGGTACTGTAGCCTGTGCAAATAATGAAAAGCCACATTTTATTTTCCCACTAAAACATTAACACAATCAACAGCCACTTTTTAGCGTTCAGTTCAAACAGAAACTTGCCCATGACAGAAATCAGCTATGAACTTTTGATAAAAACTACAAGCTTAATTACTCCTGCAGCGAGTTGCTCTTACCTTTAGGTCATGACCAGAACGGAAGAGCCACCCCAGCAGGAGTGCCGCAAACAAGTCTCCTGTGCCTGTAAAGTTCACTGGCAAACGTGGCATGGCGATGCGTAGGCGAGTGCAGCTTCCCTCTGAACATCATGAACATTATTAAGACAGATGAAGGACACAAGGACAAATAAAATACAAAGTAATACCTCATCATTAAACCATAATGAAACTTAATCATAAAATATGTTCCAGAAATTAATATGGGGAAAACGTTGTTGGCAAATGGAGATCATTGGTAATTATGAAATTTAATGATCAAGACTCTCTTTGAATCGATATTATTGAATTCCTCAAAGAAGTATATTAATGCTTGGGGAGGTAGGAGCTGAAGTCTATCATTAGACACATCAGTAAAAATAGAACATTGAAATTTAATAGGCATTGATAACGCTAAAATAGAAGCATTTAGCATCAAAAATTCGAAAATCTTCCCCAAAAAGTCCAGCCTTAACTGCCCTTTAGGTAATCACAGCAGCGAACCTATAGGTATATGAAAGCAATTTTTGGTATCCCATTTGCATTATTTGGTTCCTAAACATCACAAATTCTTAAATATGTAAAACAATGCTGTACAAACGCACCATCCTCTTTGGTGGAGGCAATGCCAATAAGCTGCTCAGCGTTGCCCAGATCTGTGCTGGAGAGCACGACCGTCTTGACGCCCTTGTCGTGGAACCAGTCCAGCACTGCTGCCACGTCAGCCTCGGTCTCTATCTTCTTCTCACTCAGCAGTCTGAAGTGAACAGCTTCTTTGTTTTTTTCGTTTTCATCGCAATTCAATCAAATGATTACGAAATCTTTTGGGAAGAGATATTATCACAATATTCATTCAGTAATAGTCCACAACAACAGAGCCAAGCACGGTTGCTATAAAGTAGGTAACATATATAATAACTGAACAAATGATACAAATAATGTCAGCTTTAACAAATGTGTAGAAGCCTTCTTTATTTTTGTTCACTGTTGAAATTTAGACTGTAAAATGTATCCATTACAAGCTGCAATTTGAATATACTAATCAGATTCTAACTTCATAATTCCTACAGATTTCAGAACTAAACATTATAGTAAGCATGATTGTTGGATCAAGAGAGACACTTTGCTGTGCATTGATCATACATTTTGATAAAAAAATAGTGCATGGCTACAGCTGTACAGGAATTTACCTAGTTAATCCAACAGTACCCTGATCAAAATATTGCTCATTGATGTGAAATACTCAAATGATGGAACAAAATATTGCATCACATACCAACAAATTCTACACTAAATTGAGTAAATTCATACTATTCAATGAAATAACAAAGGTTCTCTCTCCCTTCTTATTTTTCAATGAACAGCTCATAGAAGCATAACTTCATTAAGAGAAAGAAAATACGTATAAGAAATTAACCATTAAAGAAAAAGTATGAGGTTAGTCTCACTCAGCCTCATATTGGTTGGGCGTGATAATATCTGCCAGAGGCACAATCGTCTCTCGGTAGATGGGCAGAAGCTCAGCAGGAACGTACATGGCACCGTTATCCCCCATCACGGGATCACAAACTGAAATAATTAACTGTTTTATTGGATCACAAACTGAAATAGTCAACTGTTTTATTGTTATAATAATTATTTTAAGTTATAACATGATTTTAGACAGAATTATATTTACTTGCTGTGAGTGCAAGTCTAAGCTTTAACTAATATTTTCCATGCCAAAGTGGCTGAGCATAAAATTGAAATAAAATTTCATCAGATGATGATGGTCATAACTATGAAAAAACCAACTAGTTTTTAAAACAATTAATTAGATTTTAAGTTTAGTTGCAATTCATCTTTGCACTATTTCACAAACTAAATAAATTATTATTTAATTGTATTAACTGCTTTAATAATTACCATAAGTCATTCCTGGGTTATCTTGCTTGAGAACCTGCACAGATTTTCCAACCGCTTTCAGGAATGACTCGGATCCAATATAACCTGTCAGCAAATGACTATATTTACCCACACTCAGACCATTCAGGTGGAGCCCTTCCAGCAGCTCATCTGAAATAACGTGAGCAAGTTAAACAAAATAAAAATGTCTTGCCTTCAATAAATTTTCTTAATTTTAAAGTTTAAATAATTATTCAAGTAATACCAGTAAAAAAAACTTGCTTAGGAATTTGATGATTTGACATCAGTAAAGAGATCTCAAATGTATATACATAGGGTACATAGAAACCAATTATGTTTCAAGGATGAAACAAAAATGTTAAAAACAATCATTTGATTCTTGTATATTGAAGTATTGATTGCTTAATATCTCAACCTAGTTGTGGATTGGACCACGTAAAATATTACATGAATTATCAAGATTGATTGTAATAATTCTATGTACAAAAAATCAAAGTTTCTGGGGAGATTTCCATTTTGATATATTATCTACTCAATTTGACAATCATTCAAAAAATATTCATAAATATAAAAGAAAACTATGATAAAAATGTTATCAGCAAAATGCTATAGCATTTTAATATTGTCGTTGTATTATAATGTACTGTGTCATAAAATAATATTGCACTAATAAACTGACCAAGCTCTTGAGCATTCATGACTTGTCCTTTGAAGTGGGCATATCCAGTGTGGTTAGAAAACTGTACTGAGTTTATGGCATCAACTTCAAGACCCAGAACCTGAAATGAATAATAGTACCTGGCATTGGCAATACTGGCATGAAAGAAAACAAAAAATACTGAAGAATACTGAAATAAAACAGCAAGAAATTTAACTAGTATTATCAAGGCTTCTGAAGGGCAATTGGATATTGTTTGTCTCAAATAAAATGGAAATTACAAGCTTGCATTTGAATAGAATGAAAAGCTTGAATGATGATTGTTCAAGTAAACTTTTATAGAATGTACTATTCAAAAAAGGAGAATAAAGTCAAAAGATTATGGTACAAAACAGTCAAGATAGGTCAAAAATACTTTTTTTACTACAAAAAAACTTTAGATAAAAACTAGTTCAACTAACTACCATCAGTAACATTAAAGTTGGACTTGCAGCTTTTGATATAGAATTTTCCATCCTGCCATGAAAACTAAAAATGTATTTAAAAAAATAAATAAAATTATATATTTTACACATATTAAATTATGTCCTATCTAATTTTCACACAAGGGCATAATCAAGTTGTAAGATTCAATAGCTATTGAAATTGTTATTATTTCATGCAGCAGAACCAAACCACAAGATTTCATTAATAGCTAGGAATTTCCTTTGATCAACACGAGCCCAAAAAACGCACCTGTAAAGGAAATGTTGCACTCTTGTTCCCCACATAGCCTGAAACAACATGGCTCTGAAGGGATAATACTCTGCCATCACTTTTCATCACATCCATAACTAACATTAACTTATTTAGGAAAAATGGAAATAAAATAGATCTGGAAAACAAACATTTACATCAGGCATAATTTAGTGTCATATACTCATCCTGTCATTACTATAAGACATTATCATAGGACATACAGGATGGGGTAAAATTTGAAAATAGTTTTACTATATTTATGTATATTTGTATAAATAATTTATTTATTCTCATTTCTAACATATAAGAAAGATGGCTATGGTAGTCATTCATCAGGTATACCTATTCAATTACAAATTCAATGGTTCTCAACTTCTTAAATGTTTTGTCAACTTCAACATAATTCTAACCAGGTAACTTTACTTACTACTAAGTAACGTCAAATGGGGTAATAAGGGACAGGCGGGGTAAATCAAGACAGTCATCCAACATTTCCATATTGTAGAAATGTTGTAGCAGCTAAACTAATCAAAATAATGTAAAACTAAAAATAGTGGTGCAAAGTTCATCCTTTTTACTATCTATGTAGCATAAAGCAAGTTAAGAAATCATACATTTACTACCTCTAAAAAATCCCTGAATAAAAAGTGTAACACATGAGATTTTGGAGAGGTAGGCCCTAGCTACCTCTGCTAAAGTCAATAGCAAAAAAAAATTTGCCAATCAAAAAATTTTACTTGCATAAAAGCTGCAAACTGGTGTTGGCCTAAAACATGATTACCAGAATTCGCATGTCTTGTTCCAAAAAAAATGCAGCCATTTCTGCAAGACAGGGTAATATGGGACACCCCATAAAAAGTAAAAATGCATTTACAGTAGAACCTCAATTATAGCAAAAGCTACAGTTAACAAAAAAAAAAATTAATTCACAACAAAAATTTTGATTATATTATTTATTTAGTACCTTGCTCAGCAAAAAGTTTCATGTAATGAAAAATTAATGCATCATCGGTCATCACAAAATTGAGCAGAAAATGTCATAGATAGAACTGTGCACCAGGCAACATAGAATGAAAAGTAATTAACCTAAACTATGATTTATTTTTCCAAAAAATATTATGGTTGTCTCTAGAATATTCCTTTCTGTTTCAGGTACCATATGTTTTTTATGATATATTATTTGCTTATAGTGAATTCACTTGACCAAATTAGAATGGTGTGAAATTACATGCCGTCCTGCAAGCTTACAGATACAGAAAAGTGCCATACAGCTGCTGATTAGTGATATGAAGCTTGCAGTGGACAAGGTTGTTGTAAATGCTCAATGGCATGTTCATGGTCAGGACATATGGTAATATCTATATCATTAATTTCATTACCATATCAGTAAAGGAAAAACAGGTAATAATCACAGAAAATGTCATTTATTCTACATCTACATCATCTACAAAGGAAAAGGAGGAGTTCAGATTACTGATTCCTGTTAATAATAGATGAGTTCACCCTACATGCTTCAAAGTTCAAACTGTTTTAAAATGAAATCTTATTTAAAGTGTAGGGTAAACGCGGTATATTCCAACATCGTGGGTAATTCCGTCACCTCTCTAGTTTTTCCTTTATATTAAGCTTTTTTTTAATTTTATGCATTCGTTGATGGTTGAAATGGTGACGTCATACATTTGTGCGTCAAACTACTGTCAAAACACTAGGTCTTGGCCATCTAGCGGGAAAATATTGAGATCCAAAGAGAGACAATGCACGCTACCCAGTGAGATCATCGAAAAATGTGCCAAATTTGACAGTTGACCTTGCTCTACCAAATAGTGAATAACTGTTTGTATAGGAAGAATATTATGGTTTGAGACTTTTATGGCCGGGATTGCGCGAACACGTGCGCGAAGATAATCAATTTTCATTACATTGCGCCAACTGTGCACAGCAATAGCTTGAAAAAAGTGAAAATGCACGGGAAAATTCACCGAAAACATACATCATCCTGAGTGTGGCAGCCTCCCAGGGGTAATTTGGGTTTGGGATGCTCTTAGCTATTTTGCATCTGGCACCTTACTGCTTACAGTCACAGAAAGCATATGGAATTTTTTGAAGATGCCACAGGCGGACAGACCCACGCCCCACAGCCGTACAATAGACCTCGCAGAGCTATAAAATTAAAATGAGCCTAAATTTGTTAATGGAATGTTTCATGGTAAAAAGTTCTTAAAAAAAGCTTTAAACTGTCCCATACTACCCCACTTGATGGTACTTTGATCACCTACTAGATCTATAATCTAAAAATATCAAATTAGTTATGTAAGAGAAATCCATCATCCAGTGATTATGAAATACCAGATAGGTACCTTACTACACCTCTCAAATTAAACCAAGGAGAAGGACTGGAGACCCACTGCCCGATTGCAGGCTGGCCCAGCAAACAAGCCAACTAGCTGAACTAGGAATAGGATAGTAGTCTGTTCTCTGTTGGGACTTTGGGGGGCGCCGGGCGGGGGCCTGGACTGAAAGACAGTAATTATTACATTCGGCATATAGGTAGCCTAATATCGTAATATGGTTGTCAGCTTGTCACTTGTGTTGACTTATGGCCAACAACAAAAACTAGTGTTGCTCTGTGTTGGATTAGGTCATGTTGGCCACTGGCCTAGTCTGACCAGTATAGTTATTTTAATTTAAATATTAAACCTTACTGATTTTCATCAGAATTTTCACCATCAGTTGGTCAGCAGTCAGCGCGCACCCCCATTTCAATCCATTCTCACGACTCTCCCGGTGCTTGCTCTCCCCAGGTGACAGGTCGACACTCGACAGCAGTTTCAATTGTCTCATGATGATGATGATGATGATTTGAATTTGAAGGCTTCGAGTGCTAATGCACTGCCCAGCCTGATCTCAGTCATTAGTTGGGGGCAACAAAAGAAAGCTTGGGCCCAGCCACAAGCCAGAGCACTCCAGGCAGGGAAGTGTCATCAACTAGTACCGGACACTTGTCACATGCTTCAGAATGTAGAAGAAAAAAAAAATAATAATAATAAGTATAAAAAAAATAAGATGGAGCATGCAAGATGGTGCAACATGCCTCTTTGCAGCGACGTAGAGTAGCATCATGACATCATGGTGCTGCATGCAAAACTAGACCAACCAATAGAAGATATGTAGACATGCAAGATTGGAGTCAGTGAAAAAAAAAAATAAAATAAAAATAATAATAAAACTAAATAAATAAAACAAACTAGGTT